ATATGTGGCGCAAAACACAATTGATGCAAGTATACAATTTAACTTCTTCTTGTCGACCCTTCCTTATTTCCCTTATTCCCATAGGCCATTTAGGTCATTCCAAAGCTAGCCTGCGCTGCAGACGTAAATTTAACCCTGTAGGTCTGCGAAGCAGGTTATCCAAACCTTGGGGTGACTGATTTTTCAGTCTCAATATATTCGTCCATATTTTTAAAATCACAATTTCGAAACTGACCTATCAACACGTTTTTGTGTGGCCGTTACATATGATGTGTTTTATTTTTGTTTTTTCTCTCAGAATACGGCGAGTTGAACTTTTCAATGGCTGCGTTCAAAGATAGTGAACATAACGATAAAATTACAGCGGATGATCAGCCATTAGCCGTTGGAACAAGGTTATACATCAAAGTGGAGGTCAGATCAAGTAATGAAGAACTGGACTTGCTGTTGGAAAGATGTTATGCGACTCCCTCAACTAACAGACAAGATAACAATCAGCGACAATTCATCGTTGGAGGGTAGGAATAGCAGTACCTCCTGAGGAAGTCCTCTTGCGCAGACGCTCTTTAGGCTCGTCGTGCAATCTTACTATCCCACTGGGGAAAAGGAAGATTGCGTGACGCCCAAACAGCCTCTGCGTACGAGGCTACAGAGTTTCCGGAAAAAAATAACATTCGAACTGCGGATAAAAGATTTAGAGACTAAAAGTTCGCAGTTTTGCTCTTTTCAGGGCAAATTTGTTTCTAACAAGACAAGGGCGTGGCCTTACGGTTAGCCCATTGTTCTTCAGATCAAGCGGTCCGTTGTTCGAGCCCTGGGACCCGTTTCTCGAAAGCCCCGGAAACCTTTCGGGCCCGTAAAGCCATTTTTAGTCCATCTGTATCTAAAAACCGAGAAGTGTACGCACCTGAAACTTCTTGTATGAAGGGAACTTCTCTGCATATTAAGAATATGTGAATAAAACAGCTCTGTAATCGTAAGGTTCGAGATTTTGCTATGGCTTTACGGGCCCGAAAAGTTTCCGGGGCTTTCGAGAAACGGGCCCCTGGTCAGGGTCACTGTGCCTTCCTTCACCCTGATGTAGAAATGGGTACCAGTGAGTTTAATGTAACCATGGTAACATTAGGATGGATAAGCACCTCATCAAGGGGAGTATTTACACTCCTAGCAACTTAATGTTACAGAAACCGGAGTATGGAGCACCTAACTCCACGCTGACCTTACGAACATCGGAAATTTTCCAACAAAGATATTAATTTTTTACCTGTTACTTGATATAATTGTTACGTTTATCAAAAGTGATAAATTAATCCCAATACCACGAGTGTAGTAATTGTCACAGTTGTAACTTTTACTATCGTTATCTATAAAGCGTAGGTTAATTGAGGTTTTTAAAAGTCTGTTAATCCAGTTGACTGAGGAAGAGAAACTGCTTCATCCTGCTGACGTATAACTCCAAATATTGCTGCTCGCTCTCCCCCCCTTAGCAGTTCCCCCCCCCCGCCCCGCTCCTCGGAAGTTTTTTTCAAACCGGTATCTATTTATTCTCCTGGTTGAGGAGAGATGCTCTGGGAGTTTTGAGCGTATTTTTATCGACACAACACAAAGATCTTGGCCGCGACTAGGGCTTAAACCCGGACCACTAGATCAGTCCAGCGTACTAACCAATGGCCTACCGACCTTTCCACTGTTGAAATGATTCAATTATAACAGTTCTTTTTATCTAAACAAGCATATCTTTATTACTATTTAATCCTACTCTATACCTTTTTTTCTAATTCAGATGTCCAGACCTAGAGGATGATAACACCACTGTTCATAACTGTAGGAATTCTTCGGTCCAGGCGTTTGAAGTCGACGTGTTCCGTTTCGAGGACGCTGGCAATCGTATTTATTTCTACTGTGACGTGATTGTGTGTTTCGCTGGAGTATCACGCTCGATATGTAATGACCACTGCGAGGCTTGTAGCGTGAACGCGAGAAGGAGACGCGCAGAAGACTCATATGACAAAGGATCGTCACCATATTATCTGAAGATCGGTCCATTTCAGATCCAAAAGGCAACAACACAGAAAGAACAAGGTATTTAAATGTTTCCATATTTAGCAATACCTTATCAATACGTTACCAATACCTATATCTATCATGCCATATGGCACATAAGGCTTTGACATTCTCTTTCCTCCCTCTTCGATTTGCTGCTAGAGCCATGACAGTAGTCGCCCATGACTGCTACCCTGTTGCACGCCTTTCTTCTTCACTCATTCTCCTCGATGTTGCTTTGGGTCGACCTGGTCTTCTCCTCCCCTCTGACCTCCACTCCAGTGCTGTAAGCAGTGCTCTTTCTGTCCTTTCCCATTATATGTCCAATCCAGTTCCATCTTCGACGTCTGATCTCATCACCTGCTCTGTTCACTCCTGTGATCTCCTGGATTTGTTGGTGCGAGATGGTTTGGGGCCACCTATTCTTTATCAGTATAAATCTACTAGCGTTCTATCACGAATGCCGTTCTCTTATTGACTAGTGAGTACGCTACTCGCTATCTATTCTGTGATAGATAGTGAATAGCGTAGCAGTGTGCGCTTGTTAACAAAATGACGGACGCTTCTTAGCGTTTTCGAAGTGTCTGTGAAGAGGATTTAGATAAAGTTTTGAACGGCTAGTAGATTTATACTAAAACAATGAGATTATTCGTTCTCGATTTCTATTCGTGATAGTTGACTCGGGCTGCGCCCTCATCAACTATCACGCGATAAAAATCTCGAGCTCATAATCTAATTGTTTAATAGAATGGGCTTCAGTTCATGTATTTGTATTGGAAGGTGTCCAGTTTCTTCGCTTCCGCTATCATGTTTAACAATTCACATCGCTCTTAAGGTGGCCTAAAACAGTTTACAGCCCATTCCAAGACTTACTGAGTTACCTTTTCGAAGATGAATAATTTTATAATGCTAAGCTTTATTTGAGAAGGATCTCGACAAAGTTATGCCTTTTCAATATGTAGTTTCCGTACCTTATAGGCCATTTCTAATTGAAATTGCTTTGTCACTTTTTCAGACATATTTGCAGATCAGAGCAATCAAGGTGATACAACTGAGCAGATGGTGATTGTCCTTGCGCTTGGCGTTGCAGCGCTAATCACCTTAGTCGTCACTATTGCAACAGTGGTGGTTCTGATGCGCAAAAGATCTCCATCTAACAGCGACCATACCAAGATTCTTGCTCCTGGCACGCCTACTAGAACCCACGCTTGGCTTGATGTCGGCGGCACGCACACTGAAACATAATTAGACATTAGTTTGATATATTTTCTTCCCTGATCTTATCAGTTTTAAGTGAAATCCGTTTTGATCACGTGAGCATATGTCAGGCACGTGAGACACAATATCACTGCGCATGTTACAAAATTTGAGGAAAAACAATTTTAGATGCACCCTTAGCAAGACGCTCCTCGTAACCAGGGGAAACTTGAATTTTTTGGAATTCCTTTTGCGCGGAAAACAAGGTGTACTAGCGATTTTGTTGACTACGCATAAACCATTGATTTATCAGCTTCCTCGTGAACACATATCCTTTAGTCTCTCTCCTTATTCACTGTTTTGGAAGGCTTCATAAACAACGACCGCTTCTTCAAGTGCCTTTTAACATTCTTTGTTAGGGCAAAAAAATAACAAATGAAAGGCTGCTTTGAGAATTATTCGAATTAAAGAGCCCTAAGTGACAACGAAACGTGACACCGCTATAATTTCAGTTAATAGTTCCACTCAACAAGAGTTTCTCACGTGTCGCTCATAAAGTATTTGGTAACAAACCAAGCAAAACCAATGATGCGCGAAAGGTATTTCTTATAAAGTGTCAATTCATTGGCTGAAGGAACGAACACAAAATTTTTTGGTTGAAATTATTTGCTACTAGCAGAAAATAGTTTGTTTATGATAGCAGTTGAGATTTTTCGCTGTTTTGGCGGGCTTCGTAAACAACGCCCGCTTCTTCAAGTGCCTGTTAACATTCTTTGTCAGGGCAAACAAAATAACAAATGAAATGTTGCTTTCAAATTAAAGAACCCAAAGTGAAGCTTTTTGACTGAGTCTTTCTGTCAACTAACTTTTCCGAACAAAATTTTCCTTTTTCCTTACATCTAGCCAAGTCCATTTAAGTGACAAAAACTCGGAAACCATCAGTGCTCTGCAAGTCGGCTGCAAGAATTTTGCAAAGAAATCTTGAATTCCAATAACAAATTGATGCCTTAACTCTGAATACCTGATGAGTGCTTTGTCATTCAGAGTCAATTTCTCTTTCGTTATTAGTGATATTATTGTAATATATTTTTCTTCAGCAATCTTTAGCAAATACAGTCAGGCGCGATACAGCATATGAAACATTAAATGTGTCTGTTTGCCTCAACTTACACAAAACTGATCATTTGACTAATTTTCGTTCGGATTGGTGGCGCCAATTGGCATTCAACCAAGCGAATATGGCAGCGCTCAAGTTTATTTTTTCCATAAAACTACTTTATGCTCTCTTATTCATAAAGCTGGATATATTTTCGATGTTAAGCGTGTGCCGAGTATTGGTTGAGCTTGGTTTGCCGAGTATTGTAAACAGCGAAAATAGGTAACGACCTGGTTGTTACACATCTTTAGTACAAAGATTACAAGGACTGTGTAGAAAATAAAATAACTCGATAGATGTCTCTTGAAAGTGCTCATTATTCAATCTTTTTCTCGTCACAACATCTTTCTTCTTTCATTGAAAGCGGCGTGGACTTAAACTTATCTGAAAGCTTCTGTCAACTAACTCAGGGATCGATCCGAAAAAACATGTACAATGCCAGCTGTCTGCATCAAAAACTATTAAAAACATGCAGTATGGTATACAGATATATATCAAAGAGAAGTGGATGCCGGATGTTTTTTTCTCTAACAACACTTCAGAAATAACTATGTGTAAATACATGACGGGACGCAGGGAAGTTCTACTGTAAGTACCGCAGAGAAATGGTAGGAAATTTTCCTAGCATTTCATACATACTCTCACTAGGGTTCTTCGTCTTGAGGCAAGGGAAGGCGTCATAACCTGTTTCAGTGACATGTCGATGATATTAAATAAAAAATAAACCAGAAAGGGCCGATGGAATATGAGACAAGCTTTAAAATGAAGTCACTATGTTAATAGTGCTTTAAAAGTAAAAAGTGGGTTGGAGTCATTCCCGATGCTTTCAAATGATGGCGGACTCCACCGACGCCAATAATCTGGAACAAAACAAGGTCATTATATATCGGATCACG